AAATTTTTTTCTTGCTACTAAAAACATAAAAGCAGTCTATCTTGTGCAGCAGAGTGTATTCTTCAATAATGGAATACAGTAATCTCTAAATTACACTTCTGTTTTGTTTAATACTGGAACCAAGGGCGCTTGGATGGTACAAAAAGTAGCGTAAACTTTTTTGTATGTGATAAATGATAATAATATATGCTATTCGATGCGGTTTTGTGTGTTGATTACAAATATTATTTTCTATCGAATAGCAGCTCATTGCGACTCATCAGATTAATAGAGAAACATATGGTTTTCAGAAACAACATGGTTTCAAATATATAATTACTGTGAAATAATGCTGTATTAGTAACTCTTTTACGATATTTGGTATCAATTAGCAGCATGATGAATGAAACGAAACTACATTTTTAATTATGAATGAAACAATGCGTGCTCATGATTGACAAAATGGGCGCATACCCTAGTAGCATTCCCGCTTCATTTCGTGGCGAGAATACAGCCTTATGTTGCCGCGATTTTGACAAGAAATTTGAAACTTAACGCAAGACCGCTACCGTGATCGCACCTATTCTTGTTATTTTTCTTGTATAACGAAAATCAATCTTGACGCGAAAATATTTTTGACGGGATCGCGCTAAAATCCTGCTAAGATTGCGGCAAGATTGAAACGGGATCCGAACAAGATCAGGCAAAGGAAAAATCTTCTCAAGATCTTGTCGCGAATTACACACGAACTTGCCAGAATCCTATCGCGATCCCGTCACACTCTTGAAACACAAATCGAACGGAATCGCATAACGAACTTGATCAGGAACGCGATTACAATTATAAGATCACGATTTTATTTTGGCAAGATCAGCATTTTTTCGTTACACGGGAAAAAGCCGCGCTTGCGGTCAGATCTCAGCAAGAATGGAACGGGAATACCACTAGGATAGATTTTGGAAATACGAATATTCGTGCATGTTTGTTTATTCAGTGATATTGTTAATATAAGGGGTTATATCATACAAGTAGCAATGAATTTTTATCAAGCATTCATTTCAAGTGAAACTGATTTATGGGTCTTTTTATAGTTGGTTCATTTGTGTAGTATTTCTCAATTTTTAATGTCTAATACAACAATCTACATTTAAAGGGGATAGTTTGTGAGACTGTTTTCGCTGTACAACATCAGATGGACCATATTGTATAGAATTTTTCAGCAATGAATTTAAGGTTATACTATGACAACGGTTCTGTATTTTACTTTTACCCTATCACTCACTTTTAGAATGGCAAAAAGATCTACCGTTCAATTGGTTGCTTAACAAAAGTGAAACATTTTGATAATATCTTTATCGTTTATCACAAATTTCCACTCTTCCACGATATAGTTTGAACAGTTTAATGAATTTATCCTAGATGGAAATAAGTAGTGTGGTCGTTCTGACTTTAATTCAATTCTCTCCTTCTATGAGTAAATCGCAATTTTTAAATTTAAATCAATTCCATATTCCATTTAAAATTTGAGCACAGTACGATTGCATTCTAGTTACATTTCCTTCGATCAAGAAGGATAGATTTAAAAACGCATTTTAATAATTCGCTCTTGTTCTCAACATTTTTTCTGTTAAATCAAATGTATCAGATGTTCAAATTGTACTCAATGCACAATTTGTAAAGATAAAATGAAAATAATCATTTAGAACGTATATAAATTTGTAAAAATTCACGAATCGTTCTATTAGAAATTTATGTGAAAAGATCAAAATGTTTTATTTGTGTCTTTGACAGATATCAAACTAAGTATTACTCATATAGATGAATAAATGTTGGATACTTTTCGTTTTTTATTATAAGAGTATGCAAAGTAAATATGATATGAGAAAAATTTCTTAATTTAATGGCTCATTGACTATTTATTATTAAAGATATTGAAGATAAATCTATCTTGTGGTTGCTTTTGAAAGGTGTTTTATTTTATTGTAATATTCACCATCTTCTTCGTTCATTTATGATTTAATAAAAATACAGAGAGATATAAAGAGGATGGGTGTCAAAATGAGATAATAAACCTTGATTAATAATAGCAATTTGCGAATATTAACATTAGAATTTTGTCGAATGAAATAGTAAAATAATTTACCAATATATGAGAAATTAGATCAGGATCAAATCAGATAAACATTTTATTGATTAATCTCTCAGTATTATTATTACCTGTCATAATAGATATCAATTTTTGAATATGAATTTTACAATAAAATGATGATCCATATCACTAACAGAGATGACTTTTATAAATTATACTCATAAATGGTGTAAATGACTGTTTATCATGTATCTTTTTTTAGTTAAATAGAATGTACGTGATTAAGAATAATTATGTGTATGTATTATCATTTCGTGACACATTTTTTTTCTTTCTTAAACATAGATCTAACGAATCTAAGCAGACACAGATAAATGATTAACAACTGTACGTCAAGTAGTGTTGAGACAGATTGTACAATACAAGTTGCACAAACATATATATATATATATGTCCAATCGTGCGTAACACAATGTATTTAGACTTTATGTAGTAGTAGTGGACAAAAAAAAAAGAAGAAATTGCACGAATATGATATTACAATAAGACTATAAGTAAAAAATATTTTTATAGATTTATGTACAGTACAATAGTGATAAAAAGATGATGACGGTATAGGTAAAACATTAGTGCAATTAAATAACACTACATATCTTTTATTTCTCATATAATCATTTCATGTTTTTCATCTTTACATGATTGACCCAAACATTTTTTACTTTCTTCTCATTTTTTTTTTTTCTTCCTCGATCACGAGATATACTGACAAGTAGATCTTGGCCATATATGATTAATTTAGATATATTATCATCACATACACAAAATAAAATAAAAATGTTGACCATAGAAAATGACAAGAAGAGAGAATAATAAATATTATAGAAATTATACTATATTTTTAAACATTTCTATCTTTTTTATTTAATGCCTATAGTCTTATACAGTACACATTAACTTAGTTTACATGTTTTACAAACAATATTATCCTCAACGAAATTCATTTTTTTCCGATGTTGGTGAACCAAGATTACGAAGTACTGTTCCCAATATAATTTCACCCTATTTTTTCAGTAATAATAATAGGCAAAGACATCAAAAAAATGACTTTGAACGATTTCATACACAACAATTGTTTAACAATGTTTTTGTTGGCACAATACCAAGATTTATTGATAACACAAATAATCTTGGTAATATACCTCAACAACGACGTTGGCGACATGTTTTAAATGAAAATACAAAGTTCCATGCACATAATCGTAATCATGGGCATCCACGGACAGCACGCGGCATACATGACGTTTCAACAGCATATTTCATGACAGATCCAATAATAACGGGAAATGATAGAATAACGGTAAGCATTATGTCCACTTTGCTAATAAAATCAACCAGATCTATGCCCAAACAAAATAGGATAACACGGCCATAGACGAAGTTTAGTGAACAACTTATAGATTCTTCTTAGATGTTAAGAAAAAATAAAAATTGCGAATTTACTTGGAAAATCATCAAATTAAACTCAGCTCCTCTAGATAGACGTTCTTCTTTCTCTTTTAGATACAATTAGCTCAAGTTCGTCTTGGTCCCACTGGTGATCAACAACGTGTATTCATTGAACAAGATTTTAGCAATGAAAGTGAATTAAACCGATTCGTCCGAGATTTAAAAAAGAATTTTGATAAAACATTAAAAACTCGATATGAAAAGAATGGAACAGTGTTCGAACAGGAACATGGTAGTACTACAAACTTTAAAAAGTCTGGGTAAGATTTGACTACAAAATTACATCATATTTTATAGTCTTAAAAATTTCAAATTTGTTTTGAAGAGTGGTGGTAGTTGAAGAGCCGGGTGAAGAACCCAAAACGTATCCTCGACAACAACAAACTCGAACGGAAAAAACAAAAACAAGAAATGAATCCCAATCATCAATGAGTCAAGAAAAATCACCTCATAGAACACGCTCCTATTCAGGAGAACACCAACAATATTCTAAATCTTATACAGACATAAAAACAAATAATCGAAAACAATATCGTTCAAAGAGTTGTGAAACACAAGAGAAGAATGATCATTATGAACAACATCACAATAAAAATTTTAAACGAAGAGGACGTCGAGATTCTTTAACATCAGCTAGTAGCACACAAATGAGAAGAAGACATCGTTCATTATCAAAATCTAAAATATTAAAAAAAGATAAGAAAACCGACAAATCATCAACATTAAATCAAAATCGTTTTTATAGTATGAGAAATCTTGTTAAAAATCAGGATACATCCTCTCCTCCGTACTCACCATTTACTAATAATTATTCAAAGTATAGAAATCGGACAAGAAATGAACTTAATCCATCACGATTAGCACGAAATGGATTTTTTTCCACAGCTTATACACCGTTTTCATGGGAAAAGAAACATGAATCAAATTTTTATAATAAAAATAAGAGAAATACTATGGAACATAGTCAAATGGGATATTATTCACACAACCAACAACCCTTCTATTTACAACCAAAAAGATTTATTAGTGAAAATGGCAACTTTAGACGAATGCAGACACCGACTTTTGTATCTCCATTTCAGGAAAAAAATATTCAATATGTAAGTAAACTAAATTTTAGCTTAAAAAACTATTTATTTATCACTTTTATTTTTTAATGTTTATTTAGAGATTTAGAGCTCCTGGTAATGTCACATTAAACGACACATTAGATATGAATCAAGTCAGTCGTCCAGTAACAACAACAAATTTTCGACATGTACAGCCATTAAACACGTCGATTCATCGACCCCCTACACAGTTATCTACTCAATCTCATATAACACCCGATAATAATTTAATTCAACAACATGTATTCGGTGTCACATCCGCTATAAATCAAAATGGTCAATTTTCTGCTTCAACTCAACAAATATTCAATCAATCATCACCAAAAACAAACGTTATGAACAATATTAAACCACCGCCAGCACGACCACCAACAAATCTTGGTTTACCTGTCGGAAAACAATATCAACAGAAACATGAGTGGACAAATCGTGCTCCGTCTCGCTTACTTCAACAAGGTCGAACAACTGTGGAACAATCTTTCATTCATCCTCATTTGACTGAGCAACGTGTTTGTAAGGCACACTCAGAAACTGATAAACTATTCGGACATCAACCTCATCGAACACATAATCTATTAACTTCATCATTACTACGCAATAGAGAAAATATTGATTATTCGGGCTATGCAACAAATCTTCATTTACAACCGCCGCATAGACGTTCGTCATTTCGTGATTTGAAAATGGCAAACGGATTTAATTCATACATGAGACAGGATCCAAGATCAGTAAAATATTTTCAAAATATGATGAGACAATCACAACAAACTCAAACATTCATGTGTAATCCTCATTAACAACAGCAACACTCTTTTTGACCAAATATTATTATTCATTCAATGTTTTGAAAACTTTGATCACAAACAAATATCTATCACTAGTTTTTGTTTAAAAAATATTAATTTCTTGCTAATTCATTTTATGTAAAGTAATAAATATCTTTAATTGATATCGAAATTTATTTTATCCTTAGAAATATAGAGAAAAAAAAAAAAAAACAACATAAAGAGTAGGAAATTCTTTGACTAATGTTCATAAAAATTTCGTTTATTGCAATTTGTTTCAATGCATAGTATTCCAATGTTCGAATCATCTACTGAACATGGCCAAGTCAATTGCTGTTGAAATAAGCCCAACGAATGTATATTTAGAATACTAGCTATTCCATATAAATTTTGGTCTTGACGACTCCAATCAAGACATGTATTATTTGATGCTGTTCCATTTTCTAGACTACCATGCCAGAAGTATTGAAAACTTTAGTGTATAAAAAAAAAAATAGAACAATTTATTAATACGATCATCTCAACTTTTGAATTAGCTCATCGGTCTATCTATACTGATAGTAAAAGTTGTACTCACTTTGGATGATATCCTTCAAGATCGAGTATGTAGTTGAGAGATGGTTTTCCTTCAAATATATCATCAAACGTGTTGAATAATATATGTTTCTTAGATATAAAATAAAATAAAATAGATAAAATGATTTGTTTAAATTATTTTTTTTGTCTTTAACCTACTTGCATATTAATAATTTTAGCATGAATACAAACACCATCAAATAATTTTGATAGCCATTGTGTGGATGAAGATATAAATGCACGATAAAATCCAAGTAATCTTTGTTTTTCAGCTGCTCTATTACACAAATCGTCAAAATCAGACAGTTTTGTACAAAAATTTTGGCGATTTTGACTACAATATTTGCGAACATTTGGACCCAAAGCAAATAAATGAAGCTATTGAGAAAGTGAAAACAACATCTCAATTAAAGATTTTCTCCATTTTTCGATTATGAAATTCTTACTTGAGAACACTGAAGCAGAATACTACATTTCTAGAAATAAAGAAACAAACTTAGATAATTTGAAAGCTTTTGTGTTCGTTTTTATCACGAACAGACCCGTTGTGGAATGGGTAATGTTGTAATTGGACGTGTAATAGTTTGCGCAGGTATGGAATTCTAAATAAAGTATGCTTGTAAGTAAACTTTAATGCTAATTATCAAGTCAAGTTTCTCGTATATAACTAAAAATCTTGAATTATTTTGTTTCTCACCTCTAAATCTAACCTAACGGGTATTAGATTTCCGCTAATACTAATAAATACAGCGTCTAATTGACCAAATTCATTAACTATGTGAACATACGTATGATCGGGATAAGTGAACGATTTTTCTGTGGCTTCTTCTACTGTTCTAAATATTCGAATGTTGGTACTCTAAATCACAAAAACTGTTAAAATAAATTCTCTTATTCACACACACACACACACACACACACACACATATGTAACAAACGAACCTCCCCACGACATTTGGAACAAGATATTGCTGGTGAACCCCGATCGCCTTTATCGCCTTTCAATCTTATCTAGAGAAAAATAAATTCTATTGTCAGGCCATGTCAATTCAGTCAAATTTTAAAAGCGTGTTCAGCCAAAACTGATTGCAGATTTCGACTTTCCATAGTCAGTTACCTTGTTTAGGCTCGGGGTAATCTAGAAAAATTTCTCAATCTCATTCAGCACTTGATCCTCTCCAGGAACTTCGTAAAAAATTCTTTTGCAAAAGAATGGAGAAAATTTTTTCTGGAGTACCCCGATTCAACACTTGTTGCGTACAAGGTAATCGACTATGGAGGGGCCGAATCTGCAATCAGTTTTGGCCGAACACGCTTTTAAAATATCTCGACTGATATGAATTGATATGTTTTTGAAGGAAAAACTAACGTACTGATGGATGAGATGGAATAAACGGACAAGCACACTGTGGTTGTTGAGCATTTCTACGGGCTATTCTCTAAAATGAAAGATATATAATGTAAGATGCTTAACTATAGGTCTCTATTGTTTCTTTTTTACTTTTGACTGGTCTATCAGTTGTTTGATGGTTTGTGTTAAACGATCTAAATTTATTCTTGGTGTTGAACATTCTTTCTAAACATATATAACATAAGAGTTTTTTCAAGTAAGTCTGTGGTTGTAATATGCACCGGTATCTGATTCAAAAGTCTTGAACAATCCGGACACACACCTGGCACACCTCTTTCACCAGAACTACCCTTTTCTCCCTGATAAACAAAAAAAATCGCTTGTATATATTTGTTTCCAACTAATTGTTTTTACACACCTTTTCGCATGGACATTGCGGGGGATACTAAAAAGAATAGCAGGAAAATACATGATATGCACTAAAAATATGTGAGATATAGAACACTACTTACAATGTTATACTGTGTTGTAATTGTGGATATCTGAAATATGTAGATAAAATATTAGTTATTGGTGACGATGGAAACTATAATAGAGATGCAGGGCGTCTAAAAATCTAATCTGGTAAACAGTATAAAAGGCAAAGCTAGCCAAGTCAGAGATTTTGCAAGTCACAAGTCTAGTCTAGTCAAGTCAGGTCATTCCTAGAAATTTGTTTCTCCAAGTCAAGTCAAATCTAGTTAAAAAGTAGGCAGAACATAAAATTTGCTAGTGCCTTTTGGGTGAAAAACAGTTTTTATAGTTTCAGAAACTCTGTTTCATGGTAAAAAAAAGGCTTAATTTAAACGAAAATCTCTTACTAGAAATGACATGACAATTTTCAAGTCCATTCATGGTCACAAAAAAAAGTCTCATACGTCAAGTCAAGTCACATCCAAAAAATCTGACTTGGATTTGAGACATTTTTCACCTGACTTGTCTAGTTCTGATGGAAGGATGAAAGCTCATTCAAGTATTCTAATTATCTTGAGCTGAACAAATTTGGTAAAAGGATAGAATAATCAAGATGTGCACAATTGTAGCCTAGTATCAATTATGCACTAGGTAAAATATGTAGTAAATAAGCGCAAATTAAATATTTCTTCTAAAGCCGAACAAAACTTTTTCGATTTTTCCTCGATACTAACGGATATGAAACTCGTAATGTACTATTCATTTCGAATAATAGCTTGATGCAATTATAATTACTTTCATCAGCTGATACAAAATAGAAATACGTCATTTCAAAAGGTCATAGGTGTTTCGTGCATCATTGGATCGCCATGTAACTGTTAGAGTAAGTTATTCAAGATAACACACTACATATATTCCCTTTAGGGTTTTCGGAACTGACTGTTTCATCATCGTTTATTAACAGTACTATAATGTATCAGAGTCATTTCTGACATGGTTTAGAGTATGAAATTTTTACATAATCATAGTTCCTGTAAACAAGTCACATATTGAATTTATTTGCTTTTCAACTCTTAAAATATTCTCCATATAACATTAATTATTCACTTTAGAAAAATCCGCTTTCATATTATGTGTGTCTTAATTTAAGATGGATGAAGGTATGTCTTATAATGAAAAGCTAATGAAAAAGATTTTATTTCAAGAAGTCATCAATTTTAAAAATCAAACTATTAGAGAAAATAAGACAAATAAATTTATGTCGATACCATAGAAGACCCGCAACTCGGTTACCGATTAGTCCCATAAATCAATCGTTTGATGGATCTTATCCTTATTCGTCATATTCTAATAGACACATCTTTCTGTAAAGTGTTCGTTCGAATAAAATTTCAATAAACATTGAAGAAAGAAGTTAGTACTCTTTTCTCCATTGTATGCGTGAGAAGGCTTCGTGGCACGAAACTAAGGGTAATAACTGTTTAGCACATATTGCTAAAGGATCAATGATATGGCGTCCGTTAAATGACGACTATTGCTGATTGTTTTTGTTAAAATAACGCCTTTAATTGAATATAATTTTGATTTTTAAACTCGACTTTGACTTACAGTCGTCTTTTCAGTCACGGAAAAGCCTAAGCTTTCCTATAACTAAATAAGCGATTGTAAAACATATTTGATAGTCAACTGAATGTGTCAACCAGAACGTTTATGTTCTCTCTTTTGTGTCATTTTTTATCCGTACGATGTTAATTCCATCCGATGTCAAAGTTCATTCATTTATGGAATTCTTAGTTATCACTACAGCGTTCTAATCTCTGAAAAAAGAAAGAATGTTCTTACCTTAGATACAAATGTTAGAACAAGAAATTGAAATATGCGCATCGGATATTAACTAAGTGTATGGAAGGCATAAAATTATTTCATGCATACAAAATCAAATATATTAAAAAATCTACAAAACAAATTCAAATAAGTTTTGAGTGGTTCGATGCCTTCTATGAAATTTTCAAAAATCTATTCACTAGTCATCAAACCTGATTGCAAGGCTGCCCAAACGCACAGAAGCGCCAGAAGCAGAGGGGAAAAGGGGATATACCGACACATGGGCGCGGGACATTTGGGCACAACGACAGTTGAAATTCAAAGGCGCCGGTATGTGTAGGAGGTGAGCGTGAGTATCGATGAAGATTAAACAAAAAATGATTGCAATTGGATATGAGTAATATAGAAAAAGCTCCCACACCGTACCAAGTTTGTTTAAAGAAATTTTATCGTTATGCGTCATGCTTTAACAAATGCACTCTTACTGAATGCTTTTGTCGTACATGCGCCTAAATGTCGTTGCGTCCAAATGTCGGCACCCAAGTGTCGTGTGCTCAAATGTTTGGTAATCACCAGAATAAAAAGTGCCTAACATCTGCTGATTGATAATATAATAAAACAAAAATTTTTTAATGTGACAATTATATAGGTGTATTTCTTTTCTCCTCTGATTGACTATACGATCCAAGAAACACAGAAAGTCCATATGGAACAGAAAAAAATGAAAAGAAAATGGATAAAACACAAAATGCATATCTTAAATAATTACATTCACTAGTTATAATCAACATTTTCCTTCGTACACTATCTCTACCACAAAGAAATCGTTACTTTTTTCCTATTGTTTATAGTTTATAAATAATTATCTATAATTGAATATAAATAAACAAATATATTTAATGGTAAACATGTCCTTGCTTAAAAAGGCAAACAATGGCCTATTTGAAACAACGAGTTGAGCTGGCGAGTGTTTTTCCCTGTGTGAAATATGTTGGCATTAGTGTATACAGATATACTATATGAAACAAATGTGAAAAGATAAATATAGACAATATGAATGGTTTAGAGCGATTATGTAAAGTCTTACAACAATTCCAAGGTCTAAACGATCAATGATCACAACAATTTTTGTCAATAATCATCAAAAACAATCTATATAATTTTGAAAATAGGCACTAGATTCATCATTTTACCTACACAATCCTTAATTACAGTGTGAATTGATATTGTGACAAAGAATGTTCTCAGATTTATGTGAATTATTAAAAACACGTTTTCTGTTCTATATACTTTAACTATTAGTCTTCTTAAATGTTTTTTGTGCTCTTTTGACGATACATAGGACTCATAATAGATATGATACAAAGTCTTCAAATTTCCATTTGCATTTTTACACTGTTCTTTTCTTCTACCAAGTAGTGGTGGTATTTCATGAGTATATTGATAATAAAAGAAAACATATCTTATGACGACGAAACTCGTCAGAATTTTCAGTGTGAGTCATAAGAAAATTGTAGTGCATAAACTGGAAAAGAAATTAGCCAAATGAGCATACCATTACTAGCATCAATTAACAAAACTTCAAAATATTGTAATGTGATACATATTCACCAAAAACGTTTTCTCCTTAAAATACATCGATCTCATCTCATACTACTAGAGTTAGAAAAACACCGAAAACCATCGGATTTTGAGTATATAATTTCAGCTTCTCTCAATATAGTCAAAAAACATATAGCCCAATGTGGATATAAACTCGACTTTTTTCAATAAAATTCGTTAGCGAAAAAATGATGATGTTCGTGGAAAGTTTTGACCATACTACGCAAAAGAACGTAAAAATTTGTTTCAGATTCTTTTTTCCTTGTGACCAAGTCTTTCTTCCGATTAGTCATCTTTTTTTAAATAATTCTCGAGGTTCACATTCTATATCCCGATCATGATATTTTACTTTTTCTACTAGCTATTTTTAAAATCTTTCTCGAAATATCTTGATATTTTTTCTTACTCTAGGCATACATAAGGTAGCTACATCCAGTGAAATATTCAGTTAAGGTCACGCTTGTCCACCGTGATTCGTCATCTGCGTAGCGACGTAAACAACATTATTTACAAAAAAAGTTTTCCGATGCGTAAATTGCGTTCAAAAGTTTAAAGTTTTAAAAATGTCGAAGTCTTTTTATCACTCAAGTTCTAGCGCCTGATATGTCATGTTCTATATCATCTTTGCACTGAAAGTGCCACATTAACTAGTTTGAGCAGTTTTAAACTACGGCCCTACTGTAAGGAAACTATATCACGATGGGGATATACAAAAGAGCAGATATCCCGATCGGGATACATTTTTATATCCGATTGAAATATATAGCTCGATCGCGATATGGTTCCTTACTGTATGAGGAGAAGGTTCATAAAAGAAAATACTCTGCTCTGTTGTACGTCTTTGCTATTAAAATGTGAACATCAGACTTTATGATTTTGTCGAATCTTATCGTTCAAAATAAAAAACTTTTCCATTAGAAAGTTAAATATTGACTGTATTCATATCATATTTGTTTTTTTTCATAATTAACATTTTTACTAGAAAATATGTACAGTTCTGCGTAAAATACTCCAATACCTCACTTTACGCATGAAAGTAAAAGATACTTGTAAAATCAATAATAAAACGACGCCAAATAGTGATATCGGAAATGGATGAAGATATTCTCTATGGTACATACCTCGGATGTAGTCATATTTGAATAGATATCTAATGGTGGTTCAGATTCTCCACTTGCATCATAATAATTATTAATATGAATATTTCGTCTATCTCGATCTAATAACATAAAACCTTCCTCGTTTTCGAATACATCTGTTAATGTTGCCATTATTTCATCTTCCAGATTCGCTGTTGTTTTCATACCATTCTCATTTTCATTGTAATTATTAATAACTCGTTTTAAATTATCAATAATTGACGATAAGGTAGTTGTCTCCAGTATTCGAGTTGTGGTCAAAGTTCTTATATTTTGATTAGTATCATATGTATCGTTCTTAAATCTCATATTGACACCATATTCGAAACGAGAAGAGAAAGACGTGGATAAAAATTCATTGGCAACAGGAGATGGGATTCGATTTAAAATTTTACCAACAACTAATAGTGTGCTTATTAGACAAAAGATTATTTTCATTCGATGAAATTTTGTATTTTCTTCTTGTTTTTATCATTTAGATTGATTGTTAATTTTTCATTTTATTAATAAAAATAACTCATTTTTTTATTGGTAAAAATATGATAGCATTGGTGTTATACAATAGCACGCATTATTCAATAAGAGATAACAAAAAAAAAGAAAAGAAAAAAAAATTGCTAGTTATTTTTTGGGATGTGTATAGTAAAAAACATATATTTACATCTAATATCTCCTTCTTTTCATGGACATAGTTTTTTCCAAGTGTAATAGTAACTGTTATAAACTTGCACTGACTTCAGATAGAAACAATTGATTGAAAAAAAGGTTCGCTAGTCTTAATCCATGCATTTAGTAGATTGCAATTTAGATGAAATTGAAACATTCTCACATTATGTTAATAATTTGATATCGAACACGTTCGTATAATAAGCTTTTTCAATGAAAACTGTGAATGATACTAGACCTAAAATCTTCACATAAAAAACAACATCAGGAAACAAACCACTACACTTTTCTCTGCTCCAAATTTCGAAATGAAAGACTTTTTGTACGCATGATCATGTACAAAATCTATTTTGAAACATTTGTTGACATTGTTTACAGACGACAAAGCATAAACATTATCAAGTGGAAAAATACTAACAGTATCTGAAAAATAGACTAAACAAATAGGTTCAATGGTTCTACTTTTCGCCATTTCCATCATTTCGACAGTATGAGACAAATTTATATTTCTTACTTTATACAAAAATAATCTAATAACCATATTTTTGTTAAATACTTATTCTGAAAATCCGCCATCCTACTCAGATACATATTTAGACGATGTTGGAAAAATGATCCAATAGTTTGAATACTTCTTCTTGCATTCTGATCAATCTGCCAAGAATTGTTATAGTCAGCGGTATTATTATATATGCGTAATTAAGTAAAATTACCATCAAATATGTAAACTGATTAGCGAGAAAAATATGCGCAAACAAATGGATGACATGATGTTTGAGCGATCTTATACTCGTAGTGATTTCGAAGCAAAAGCAGCTTTCAGCTAAAGACGGCTCATAGCCTAGACAATAAATGTGAGTGAAGATAAAACTGACCAAAAATGGTATTTTAATACAAAACCTAGTCAATTGTTTCTGAAGTATAAGATCGCTTAAATATCGGTGAATCGTAAACAAATAACAACACAAAATTAAAACTCTCTCTCGTGTTACCCTAATCGAAATCCAAAAAAACTCTTCACTCTACAATCATACAAGTTACGAACTAGTTTGCATTACAATTCGATTCAAATACAGTACAGCATGAAACGCTCATCACATATAAAAAAATAAACAGATAAAAACACATACAAGAACGCAGACAAACAAAAAACGCATTCAATTTTATTAAAAAGACAAAAATTCTCTTGTTTTCGTGAATAAAGAACAAGAGAGAGAAAAAAACATAATAAACACACACGCACACAAAAGAGAAAAACAGCTATATGAATAGTATTTGTACAAAAATATTGCACATATATCGCGCATTTTATAAACATGAAAAAGAAAATAATGTTTTTTTAATTTTGATTATAAAAATACTATTTACTGTTTGGATGTAAATATCTGAACCATATCCGTTGAATTTCCATTCGTTGCTGAATGTTCGGCAGCTGCTAGTCGACGTCTTTCTTCGATCAATTGTCTTAATGCTACACTTTTATTATCAGTCGTTGTCGACGGCTTTTTAGGTGGTATTTTTGATTTTAGCTTTGTATCTAGATGCACACGTGGACGATAGTTCACTAAAATAAACAAAATATGACCGTTTGATATATTGACTTTTTTTATTCTCTTCTTCAACATACCATCGTCTGGATCTATTTCTTTTTCAACTTGTACCCAATTTTTTGATTTTCTTTCATTAATATGATCAAATTTTAATTTACATTTATCAACTAATGGATAAGTTATTTCCCAAAAACCTTCTAGATCACTATCCAATGGTATTGGTTCACCAGAAGACTTTTTTGTCTAAAGAAAAAAACAATCATTAGCAATCAGCAGTAATATACTGAAAGAAAAACAATATTTTAAATTTTTAACTTGAAGTCAACTAAGTTAGCCATACTACGCATAGGTAAGAAAGCGACTATCAATATTGATAATCAAGTAGAATAAACATCTAGTTTTATACCAGAATAATCTTTTTAATCCAAGGAAGAGATTTGCCCGTAATTTAGAAAATCAAATGAATAGAGCAGCGTTTCCAAGATGGGGTTCCGTGAAGTGAAACCAAGGGTTCCGCCAGAAAAAAATAAGAAGATAAAAATTAGTTTCATCACGTAAAAAAAATTACGTAGTCTTAAATAATTTTTGTCAAATATTATGTCGAAATACTACTGGGGTTCCGCAAAGTTTTAAATTTTATGAAAGGGTTCCATGGCTAAAATAAATTGGGAAACGCTGGAATAGAGGAATTGTGAAAAAACTACATAGGAAAATTGTAAGACAAGTAAGT